GGGCAAAAGTACTTTTGCCCGAACGGAAGCAGCATAGTATTTCCGCAAGAAGCACTGATTTCTTACATGAGATCGTCAGTGCTTTTGCGAAAATTTAAGCGGCCAGTGTAGACAGCTGGCAAGCTTTTCCGGAAAAGCTTGCCAGCTGTCTACACTGGCCGCTTAAATTTCCGCAAAAGCACTTTTTGCGGAAAAGCATCTGTGCCAATCTAGATGCTCTGTTCCGAAAATGCTTTTAATGGAAAAGTTTTCCGTTAAAAGCATTTCTGGAAAATCATGCCAGTCTAGACGTAGCCCGTCTATAACGGTATGTCTACACTGCGGGACAAGGTCAAATTAAGATACGCAACTTCAGCTATGTTAATTGAGTAGCTGAAATCGAAGTAGCTTAATTCTACTTTTGGCGCTGTCCACACTGCAGGAAGTCGATGGGAGAACACTCTCCCTTCAACTTCCCTTACCCCTTGTGGAAGCAGGACTATTGGCATCGACCGGAGCACCCCTCTCAGTTTGAATTAGGGTGTCTTCACTAGACCTACTAATTTGAACCCTGGAAGAGCAACAGCAACAGCTTCCATTGTCTGTAGTGTAGACATGCCCTAAGAGAGGATGAGAGGCACATGTACTTCTCTGTTCTGTCAACTTTACATCTCTAACGTTTTCAAGGGGAAAGGCTCATGAAAGCTCAAGCAGCGTGAAAAGATTGTAACTAACAATAAATGACACAGAACACAAGGCAAAGAGAAAGCATGTTAGCATTACTGAAACTGGTCTCTGTAGAATTCCAAAAATGCAATTTTATTTGTCCGCAGAAGTTGAAATTTGCCTGTCTCAGTTTATGACATGAGTATCAAGAGGAAACCATGGTATGCCTGAACTATTTAGCAACAGTTTTAGCTACGTGGAAAAAAGAAAAAGACTATTCACTGATCTATTATCTTCCTTTTGGTCCATCAGTCTCAGGAATGAGACTTCCCCCTGTATTTTGGTGGAAAATGGTCAGTTTATATTGAAAAAATAAACTTGTTTTCAAATTCTGAAAAGATTTTAAAAAACAAGCAAACAGGACTTCTGGTCAGAAATCCAGCATTGAATTTGCCCCTTGCTTTATCAGGAGCTGAAACAATAGAATTTGTTAAATGAGCTAACTAAATTAACGTGACTCCAATGTTGTAATTTTTTCCCGTTTGTGATTATAGCTGTTTGTATCTATTAGGAGATATTGAATCATCTGCTACTATTGCATTGGTTGGAACAATATAGATATGTTATTTATGGTATATAATTGTAAGAGATCCAAGTTTTGGTCCAATTAAGTATCTAAAAATATGGGCTGTGTCTACACTGGCCACTTATTCCGGAAATGCTTAAAACGGAACAGTTTTCCGTTATAAGTATTTCCGGAAAAAGCGCGTCTGCATTGGCAGGATGCTTTTCTGGAAAAGCACTTTTTCCAGAAAAGCATCCGTGGCCAATGTAGACGCGCTTTTTCAGAAAAAAACCCCGATCGTCATTTTCGCGATCGGGGCTTTTTTGCAGAAAAGACTACTGTGCTGTCTACACTGGCCCTTTTCCAGAATAGTTTTTCTGGAAAAGGACTTTTGCCCGAACGGGAGCAGCATAGTTTTTCCAGAAAAACACTGACAACTTTACAGTAGATCGTCATTGCTTTTCCGGAAAAGCAAGCGGCCAGTGTAGACAGCTGGCAAGTTATTCCGGAAAAGCGGCTGTTTTTCTGGAATAAGTGGCCAAGTTTAGACACAGCCATGGGCTTTGAACCTCCATAGTTCTGACATCCCTCTTTCTGCAGTTCTTCAGGCGCTCTCCCTTCCTTTTTATTCCTCTCTATGCCCTAAACTGGCCTTTTAATATAGTAATAGTATTTGCTAGCTTCTTCAATGGAGTATAGTAGATGCACACGGTGGCTTTCAAGTAGCAGAAAGAGCTCCCAGTTCTCACTCATAAGTTTGTGCTGTGGATACAGGTAGAGCAGGGGTCAGCATCATTCAGCATGCGGCAGATCAGGATAATCTGCAGGAGGGCAGTGAGGTATTTTATTTACGTTAACTGTCAATGGGCATGCCCTCCACCCCGTGCAACTCCCAGTGACTGCGATTTACCATTCCTGACTAATGGGAGCTGTGGGAAATGGCACAGGTCAAAGGAACATGCTGGTAGCCACTTCCTGCAGCTCCCATTGGCCAGGAACGGTGAACTGCGTCTCATGGGAGCTGCAGCGGCCTTGCCTGCAGTTAAGTCAACTATTTTGGTGGACAAAATAATCAGCGGATGACCTATTCCACTCATCATCCCCTTTTCGGATTCCTAACAATAAAAGACGTTGGGGGAAAATTAGTGGAGGTGATGCAAATGGAGACGGTGCTGACTGAAAAAAAAAAAAAAGAGGATGGAGTGAGCCCCATCATCATGGCAATACCCCCACCTTATCTAGGAACCTCTGGATCAACCTAACATTGTTGGACCTTTGCTGTTCTGATTCTGACAGACATCTTGACCAAACCAGGTCAGAGACGGGGAGCTAGACGGCATCACCACTTCTCCTGGCTCTAGCTGACTGATGACCCCATTTGGGATATCAGACTTTATCATCCCCCTCAAGAGCTGTGTTCTCTTTCCCCATTTTATTTCTTCTCTTTTCTATCCTGCTAATTTTCTCCTCCAGCCTAATAAGAATCTGGCATAGCGAGTGTGGACTGTTTGGATTTTTGTTATGTAGAAGATAGCAGATGATTTTGGCCCTTGTGAATGGACACATCTCTTATCTCTCCATGCCCTGGAAGTGACTTGACACTTTTTGCAGAGGCTCTTGAGTTCCTGACACCAGCAATAGCTGTTCCACTTCCCCGTACCCAATACCTGCTACTGCCCCGCTTCCTCTTTAAATACATCCACTACCTGCATTTGCTAACATGATGAGCAGGTAATGTTGATATGTAAGTTGACATAATTAAGCTTCAGTGTTATCTCAATGGTTTGTTAAGGATGCTTAACTCCTCGCAATGCTATTTCAGGCTGTTTCCAAAGCAAGAAAGACAACACTTCAACAATTTTGAGCAGGTTAATCTGTAAAACCATCAGTGTCGCAAACTTTTAAATGAACATATCTATACAGTTCGGTAGTGAAGAGTGGGTTCTGTTTGAAGTCATGTAGAACATGGCTTCCTAATTTTGTGTAGTGTTTTCTATGATCCCCCTAATTCTTTTCAAATAGCACCCGTTTCAACAGCAATAGAGCAGGTCTAGGAACTAGAATCAGCAGAATTAATAATTTGTGTAACAAGTTAGGAGAGTTCACTAACATTTTGCTGTAGAGAAATTAAGTAGGGCAGAGGATAAGAAAACACACTGCAGTTTGGCATTTCAGGACAAGCACCCCCATTATTAGAAATAAGAGATGCTTTTTTTAAAAATAACCACACACCCTCCCTGTGTAGTGTCTTTGTTGTCCTGATTGTATGAGGACACTTGTATAAGAAGGGTCAATGAGACAGTGGAGGGGTTAAGAAACAAATTTCAAAGTTCAGAAAAGAATCCAGGCCTTTGGTAATGCTGAGACTTATTTATTACCTGAATGTTTTTACACAATTTACTAGGTTGCTTCATGAAAGGTTCAAGCCCTTTGTGTGACAAGCATTCTTCTTTTTACAGCTCCTTCAGTTTCTGCCACATTGCCTGCCACCTCCCTATTTGAAATGCCAGCACACACACAATAAATGTCAGGATAAAATACAGTGACAGAGTTGACTTTAACACATCTCTGTTACTGACAGGTTTTGTGGCTGAGCTGTTACTTCCAGGCTGAATAATGACATGCTGGCCATAAAGTATACACTGTTCAGCACGTGTTATCGACAGTAAATCACCGTTGTATACAGCAGTGTTGTAACTTTGTTAGTCCCAATCATCGTGTCAGTTCAGTATCTCAGTCATGCTCCAAGCTTGTGAGCTTCCCTCCCGTCGTAATTTCCTAAATCTTATTCTAAATCAGGAAAATGATCTGGGCTTTCAAGCTGCTTCATTTAACAGTCAACGGAGCACTTCCTCCTGACAAGGAGGTGCCGAGTGTCAACACTGTCTGAGGCATCATTTATGCTTTTAAAATAGAAGGTGTGAGGTGTTTGAGCTCTGTGGTAGCTCTGCAGAGCACTACAGGTTGCTCCATGTCCTGAGTGGGGACTTGGCTCAGGACATGGAGCAACCATGCTGCCTCTATTTAAACACAGTCTAGAACCAGGGGTCGGCAACCTACGTAGCATGCGAGCCGATTTTCAGTGGCACGCAGGATGGGAGCTCAGGCCTACCCTTCCTCCCCTGCACAGCAGGGAGCCTGCGCTGCTGCTTGAGCCTCGTGGCTGGCACACAGCCGCAGCACCAGCTCCGGGAGGCAGGCAGGGAGGCTGCTGATGGTGCTGTGCCCAAGCAGCTGGTGCTCTCCCCCTTCTCCGCCCTCTCAGCTGCATTGCAGCAGCGAGCCGGTGGAAGCAGGTGAGCTGGTGGTGGTGGAGGAGGGCGTGCGGGGGCTCATCCAGGCAAGCTTCTCCGGTGGCTGGCGCCACATGGCTGCTCCTCCGATAGCTGACCCGCAGTAGTGGGGCAGGGGTAGCCCAGCAAGGGCTGGGGGCTGAGCGTGTGTGCACGCGCACACAGCTGCAGGTGTGCTATGGCAGCCCCACTGGGGGCGTGGT